GCCCCGCACACGAGGGCTGCAGAGAGATATTTTGGGTGGCAGGAGGCCCCTCGTCATTTCCGCCGGGCAGCGTGTCGTGCCAGGGGCTTCACTCCCGCGCGCGAGGCAAGCGGGCAAGTTGGTTGCGGGCGGACGGCGGCGGCTGCTCCTTTCCTCAGTGCCTCGACCCTGGGCAGCGCAAGCCATGAACTAAAGTCTGGGAGAGACTGAGACCCGAGCGGAGCCGCCGAAGCAGCAGCAGCTTTAACCGAGCCGCTGCTGGGGACCGAGCCGCCAAGCGCTGAACCGCGAACCCAGCACGCTTCCCTCCCCACCGCCGTTCCCACCGCGGCTCCCCGGCGTTTAGTGGGAGACATTACAGCCGCAAGCCCAGACACACAAAAGCCACCTTCTCCGCGCCTCCCGCCCAGCGAGGCAGCGGCCAGCAAGGGGACCCCACCTGCGGGCGACTCGGCTACTGAGTTCGTTTTGTGTCTGAGCTCCGCGCCCCTCACGGAACCGATCCCGCCCCCATGGCTCTGATCATGGAACCGGTGAGCAAATGGTCTCCGAGTCAAGTGGTGGACTGGATGAAAGGTAATGCCCGCTGCGGGGACGGCAGGAGGCCCTGGACGCAGGAGAGGCTCGGAGGGCGGGGAGACCGCAGGGGCGCCCGGCGCGACTGGGGGGAGGCAGGGAGCTGGACGGCGGAAATCCCGCACATCATCCCCGCTCCCCTCCCGGGAGGACGTGGCTCGACCCTGGTCTGCCCCTTCAGGGAGGAGCCCCCCGGGACCTGCTTCCCAGAGCCCCGCTTCCCCGACCCCTTTGTTCCCTAGAAACCTGACGCCCCCTCCCTGCCAGGTGCCTGCTCCAGCGCCAACTCTCCCTGCAACTTTTAAGCTGGAATATTGGGGTCAGGAGGCGGCTGCCCCCGTCTGGACCTGGGGATCGCCTCTCTCTCCCAGGCCGGGCTTCGAAGGCTCGGTGGAAGGCGCTGCTTTGGGGAGAGGCAAACATGCCTCCCCTGGGACGGCACCGCGTCTGTGGCTGGGCTCCTCCTGCACATTCCCTCATCCTTGCCGCCTCCACTTCAGACCAGACGAGGCTTCGGACCACACGGCTCTTTATTAGGCTCTCGACGCAGAGTGTAAGGGGATGCGCATCTTCGTACCCCCTCATTTCTTCCATCTTACTCCCTGATCCTTTGGCGATTTCTAGTAACTGTAGTTAGAACACTCGCCCTCCTTGTCAGAACCGTGGGCTTTCTCTCTAGTCCCTGGGCTTTCCTGCCTCACTATCTCCCTCTGTTGTCTGAGTTAAGGGGCTTGAAGAGGA